TTCATTAGGAAAACAGGTGATTGCGAACGGAGAACCAGCCATATCGAATGAATGACGGCCATACAGGGAGCTCGAAGTGGCTATTGCTGAAATTGAAAGCTTGGGAATAGGAGGGAATAGGATGACATCAGTACCGTCTGATGAGTGCTGGAAGGTATTAAGTAAAACGGAAAGGTGGAAAAGGGGGATGATGGCAAGTTGAATAAACTTACGAACAGGTGGCTGGCCTGGCAACCAAGGGATTGAGTTTGCTCATCTAGAATGCGGACACAACAGATGGCCTTTAGTGCTCTTTTGCTCGGCGAGTATGCAGTAAATATTACTATCGATGTGAAAGGCTACCATTGGCGGTAAGAGTTGTGTCTCGTGCTTTACACGGAGAGCCAATTGACCAGAAGGCGTACGACTAGGGCGAGAATAGGTGGATAACTTTGGGAAGGCAAGGACTCGGCCTCCGAGGTAGCAAACAGGGAGGCTAGCCGTCGGACTAGTTCCAACGGGCGATTACATAGTGTGTTAGACAGGGGGTGGCGCCAGTTTTTAGCTCAGCTAAAGAATCTAGTCGTAGGGTCACTCTCGTGCCAAGAAAGGGGGTTGATGTGAACACGGACAGGAGACAAATACTAAAGGGTTGAGCGACAGCTTCCAGGATAATGGATAGGGACTATAGTTTGGCTGGAAGCTACCACGTAAACTGAATAGAAAGGTAAGACTATGGTTCGTCACTCGTTGAGCAACTAATGTCGGCTCCAAGCAACGAATGATGCATGGTGGAAATAGCCAAAAGGCGCTAGCCTCAACTGTCAGTATTCATGGAACGATTAGGTCCTTATATTTTATACGATCACCCCAGGGAACATCGGGGACGAGTGTGTTATGTCTGGCCGATGAACAATTGGCGGAGGTTCGACTGCGAATCCTGAGCAGAGGAGTACTAGTTGAATAAATAATAACTGGAAAAATACATCCATATACCATTGGAATTTCGAGGTTGGGCCCCTTTGCACGCTATCCAGAATGTGAACAGTTTCTAAATGAACAAAATATGATAGTGAATTAATCTCTAATATTTCTGCGGTACGTGGCACTCAACACCTAATACCTCAGGTCAATTCACCACCATTTAATGTATGGTAGTTGGCGATGGGGTATGATCCAAATAAACATATTTAGAGGCTTTGGTAAGCAGTGTGATGTTTCAGGATCATCGGTTATCATTGCCACGCCTTCTCGATCAAGCTATGAATTGAATCCATAGTTGGAAGCAATGAGCTGGATGATGGAATTCTGGATAAAAAATCGGTATTAGGAGTCATCTTAGGAACCTCAATGAACAATCGTGCAGGTTTAAAACTGAGTACAGTTATCCACTGTTGTACTATAGTAGCAGGTGTATTCGCTAGGGACTTTGTGGGACGATACAACAACATTAAGGCCCCGTGATTGGTAGCAGTGGCAAAGTTTGATCAGAAAATATAATAATGCAGCCGTTTCACGGCTAAATATACAACGAGTGCTCCTTGTTGAGCTTGAGAATAGCTAAGTTCGGATTCGAGAGTCCACTGGAAAATGAGACCAGTCTGCCACAGTGTTCAAAGACTGCTCCTATTCCATTGGGAAAAGCACCAGTAATGATGGTAGATTGATGTTTGGCGGAAAATGCTTCCAAAACAGCTAAAGTTTGAAGGTGGCCAAGCAATATACACTTCTTTTTACGGTTGGAGTACCAAGAAAGTTGATTGGCGGATATGACATCAGACAAGCAACTTGCATGTGTAGCAAAATCAGGAACAAATCGAGAATATTACTGAAGTGCTCTCAGATCGGAACATAGTTCTTGTAGATTGGTTGGTGATGGCGCATCCATTTAAGAAGATAGACGGTTTTTATCGGATTTAGAGACAGCTCTCAGATGGAACATAGTTCTTGTAGATTGGTTGGTGATGGCGCATCCATTTAAGAAGATAGACGGTTTTTATCGGATTTAGAGACACCTCCGTCCACAATGCCACCAAGATGCGAGAGTTGTTGAACTGTAACAGTGGCTATACTGAACTCAGATGCATATCAAAGGTAGCTTTATCAGTAGCATCATTATGACATCACCTTGGCACGTTTCAGCACCCTCCAAACCTTTTGTACTAGTATTCAGAGCTCGCTGAAATGCAGTTAGTAAAACATTCAGGCCAAGTGGAAGGAACTTGTGTCGGAATAACCCGAAAGGTGTCTTTATGACAATAAGACTTCTAGAAAGGCCTCGTCCAGTGGTATTTGAAGATAGGCATCTTTTACATCAATTTCTGAAACCTTAGTGAAACTTGATAAACGATACAACACATCTTCAGGTTCTTCTGTAGTCTATGTATGTTGTATCAAACGCGTATTTAACGTTATGCGGTAGTCCTCGCACATTCGCGGAGTAGTATCATCGGCTTTTAGTGGGGTAACTATCGGAGTTACCCAATTCGATGATTCAACAGGAGTCAGTGTTCCTTCCTCAAACATTGGATTAAATGCTTGACGAACAGGTTCACGGAGGCCATGGAATAATTCGTCGATTCAGAAATATAGGATCTTGTAGTGTCTGTAATCCGTTGTCACATTTATTTACCATTTTTTCCTGAGCTTAAACTACATTTTGTAACTATTGTACATATTCTATCATGACGTTTGTTTTATTGTACTAATTATTACATCAAAGGAAAAATGGTACCAATGCACGGGTTTTCGGCGCGACTTTCTGACTTGTTTAATCAGTGGATTTACGCTCGGTTCAACAGTTCGCATAGAATATAGCCCCACTTGTTCAGCGGTCGGCAAACAGTTCAACGGAGCGTAAGTCCACTGATTAAACAAGAAGTCAGAAAGTCGCGCCGAAAACTTGTGCATTGGTACCATTTTTCCTTTGATGTAATTATTGGTACAATAAAACAAACGTCATGATAGAATATGTACAACAGTTACAAAATGTAACTTAAATTCAAGAAAAAATGGTAAATAAATGTGACAACGGATTACAGACACTACAATCTCCTGTGGCTTCGAGTTTATCTTAGGTATTTGCATGCCACCTGTAGTCTTAGAACATTTAAGAATCAGTTGTTTGGATTCACTCTCATTTACAGAATTCCGTAAGGTGATGAAGGTTCGCAGTGAGCGCAAAACTTCGAGTCCGATAATTCATGGTCCAGAGTTCGAAACTAAAAAAAATTACAATCGATATGGGTACATTGGAGCAATCTCACGGGAATCTACCAACTAGATGTACAGGATGTCCAGGAATACCGCAGATAATCCATGTAGGCACCATCACAACACTGGGGTAAATGCAGTTCGAGCTGAATGTGGAATAATAGACTCGGCACTACCAGTATCAACAATGAAATCAAGTTTTCGACCAGAAATGGATATCAAAGTTTAAAAAACGGGAATTGTTCATCCGTTGTAATTCGGGTAATTGAATACCAGCAATGAGTCTATCACGCAGTTGCTCTCCTAGTTGAGCACTGCAGTCACAGTTGGCTGCCTGTGTCTGTAACTGCAATACAAAATGGCGAACCGGCTCACAATGAGAGCGGGTCAACATATTGAACCAAGCTCTTTCGGCTGCTGCTAAGTTAATCGGTTTGAAGTGTTGCAGAACTTTTTTCTTCAATGCATCATCGTAAATATCGACTGGAGATTCACAACATACTAAATTCTTGATCTACGTGTACACTCCATTGCAAACAACATGTGGAAAATACGCCAGTAGTTCCTTATCATACACATCAGATTTTGAGACACCATATGTCAAACCGTTCCAAAGAATCTTCTACATCTCGAGCACTTGGATTAATATTTAATGGTTCCATTTCGGTAGGCATGATAAATTGTCCAAAATCGACGCCAAAATGTAGTAAATAAGTTCAGCACATATATCAGCATAGCCAAACGAACTAGAAATTCAGGATTCAGCACGGCGCAACTAGTATCACGTGAGCATTCAAGTTGACGTAAGATTCAATATCCGAATTTATGCTGACGTCAGAATTTGGACAGACGAGGATAGCAACCAATTACAAATGGATCTAGACTACTTATATAGGTGATCCATGAAAACCCGGATACGGTACGGCGTTAAAATATGAGTTGTGTATCACTCCGAATTTAATCCCTACAAACCTTCACGTTCACTAAAGAGTAGGATATCTCGGAAGTTTGGCAAAATGAGGATCGAGCATTTCCCCAGATCGCCATCACCAACAAGCAAACGTTTGAAAGACCAGGTATCCGTTAGGATACCCGATTCAAAACTACAGCCCGTGGCGAGTTCACTTATTGGAATATTCGCATGAATTGGCCACTACTTTTGTACATACAAGGTTCAAGTTATAAACCCAGACTTATCAACCGCAGTTTGTTTTCCACGAGGTGTCACGGATCGATAGGAGACCACTTGTTAGTTTACCAGATTTTCGCGTATTGTCAACCACTACCTGTGTTCTCAAAAACTTATCATCTCCGAAGCAGTTACTTCAAATTATCATACCAGAATTACCATCAAGTTCCAAAATAAACCTTTTTACTGCGTGTTCACCGTTGTTGGAAACCTTTTACTGACGACAGTTTTTGTGCTAGCCATATTTAAACGTAAAAAGAAACTGGACCTTATTTGGATCCAGTGACGTTCCGCCACAAGTAAAGATACCAAAATTCTCGACAAAACTTTCCTTCACTAACAACATTCGACGCACAGACCCCCCCTCAACTCGTAGATTGTGTAAGACACTTCGAATTATCCCCCCCCTAATAAACTGACATCATGAAACCTACATGTGGTCACACACCGGTCACGTTGCATCCTCATCGACTGCATCTGAAGTAACAACAGTTGTTGTCAACTTACGCATCAAACTTTCGATAAGCCGTACAATCATCATCCTCAATACCTGACCGCCCGTCGGCAGAATGTTTCCAGAGACAAAGAAACAAGACTATTACTGAACACGTCATCGGATCTTTTAAATTCATGGAGCAACAACTGACATGAAGAATAGAAACGTGGTAAAGTGATAAAACACAGGGTCATAACTAACAAACAAGTGTACCTATAAAAAAGGAACTGTCAACCAAAATAGACTCAGAATCAGAAAGAGGGGTTGGATGGAGGCACAGAAAGGGACAGAATGAATCATTAGCTAATCGTATCACACAGCAAGTCTGGATCGGAACAAGGCACCGATAGGATCGAAAATGTACAACGTGCCAGTATTTGCGTCCACTGTGACTAGAGTTGGGGGTAGGTCTGAAAGGGAAGGGGGCAGTCGGGCACACATACAACTGGCTTTGTCCTTGAAATCGCAACGGCGCCTGGGACTGACTTTTAGGGGACTGAGCGAAGAACTCACAGCGTCACTAACTCCAGAAGATAGAACACGTAGAACACGACAACGATGAAGAATACGCTGTTTGGCGGGAAGCAATGCTGATCCTCGACGACCTCCAGCACGTGAACCTTGGGGCATGACTGTTGCTGGTGAGACTTGAATGTCATGGTTTACAGAAAACATCGCCGAACCCCGACGACCACCTGCGCGTGTGGACGGAGACAAAGATGTTGGTAAGGGTTGAATGTCATGGTCACCAGCACTACTTGACTCAAAGGGCCAAACACACAGGCGATCAGATAACCCAGTGAGCAATCGGCCGTCTGGAGACCAAACAAGTCGCCTCAACCAGGTACCGCCTGCACCAGCTGCACTGGAATGGAACGAAGGAGGTTTCTGAACAGCGCGAGTGCCAACTGGAGTCATAGACGGTCCTGTTTGATTCAATTCTGGGCTAGGACACCTCGTTAGATTTGTGGGTGAGCCATTTTGCTGCACCTTTCCATTCAGGTGCACTAGTTTTTTCTGAGCACCCTTAAACTCGAACTGTCGCTTAATCTTGTAGCTGTCGGGACTGAGGGCTCTATTGATAACACTTCGTTTGTCAATATCCTCATAGCCATCACGCAGCCTAAAAAGGAATAGAAAAGTGCCATAGAGTGCTAGTTGAAGTGACAGTATGAAGGGGACAAAATGAATACAAAATTATTGATGGCAAAAATAGCCTTAAAAACAGACGGGCAGTGCAAGCAAGAGCAATGGTGGAACGGGTTAAGTCCTTAGATTTAACCTCTGTCCGGCGAACGTGTTCGGTAATTTCTGTACAGATTATCATACATAAGCTAGATGGCTCTTGAAGTGTCGGTTGGCCTGGAAAAAAAATATATATATATATATATATGTTTATCTGATCGCCCAACAGCGTTACTTGAGTAAGCAACCATTACAGGAAAACCAAAATATTCACAAACATTCTTACATATGTTTTATGGACCAATCAATCAATTTGTCAGCTATAAATCGTGTACCATAAGAATATTGGTTCCAGCTACTACAGTTGCGAACATCGAGGTGTAGGAGAATGTGGGATATACAACCAAGCCTCGGAAGCGATGGCAATTTTGGTTAGTTGGGTAGCTACGCACTGGGGGCGATAGTTATGCTGCATGAGAGGCAGTGACTGCGTTATTGGGCCATTTCTCCGAGTGTCATTAACCATCAGTGAGTTGAGTCCCGGGGTTGCCATTCAGGGGGGGGGGGGGCAGTTGTCGACCCGACTCAGTTTACCGGTGTTTTCATATTTCAGCTCCAGGTCATAGAATGTCCATCTCTCGGTCGCTTCCACTCAGTACAGGCCTGGGCGAAAACAGTTCTGTGAGGCAGAAAATCTTATGGCATGCGGAGTACATGTCCTAACCACTGTAGCGTAGGAAGCGTGAGTAATTCGCCTATAGCAGGAGTTCCTTCTTCCTAGGTTCATCTGGCGTACCTCAGCATCACTAATCCGATGTTACTACTAGACCCGACAAATGGTTCGGAGACACTGATGGTCAAACACTGATATCTTTCATAAGTCCTCTACGCGTAAAGGTCACGTCTCTGATCCATAAAGCAGTATGGATGACACTGCTGCAATATAAACCCTGCCCTTAACAGGCAAACTGATGTCACGCCGGTGCCATAGGTGTCGGAGGTTAGCAAAAGCTACCCTGGCTTTCCCGATCCGAGAATTAATCTCATTTTCAGCCAATCTGCCGGAACTATATATATATATATATATATATATATATATATATATATATTACCGGTTCTGGTGCTCCCTCACTATTCAGAACGGACATTTCGCACTTTGTTCCTACATCCGACAGGCAATTAAGGTTCAATTCCATTCAACTGTATGCACTATCTCCACAAGCTGTGTTGCAGGAAGCCCGCTAAACTGTTCTTCGAAATATTCGGCCCATCTAACCAGTCGGCGTTTTTGTGAATTAATGAGCCGCCTTTTTCCCTAATCGCTCCACTGACCGCTGCTTTACCAGGGGTCAGTCGGTCGTACCAGTTGATATGGGGCACAGATGTTTCCGGTAGCAAAAGTCCCCGCCGTCTCCCAAGCTTACAGTTTCCACCAGAGCTCTAGGTTTTACCTTAGGCTCTTCACCATTTGATGTATGAGGGATTTGCGTGCGCCGCCACACAGGCTATCTGTTGGTACGGATTTCTCGGCATCAGTCAGGACTAGCAGTCCCGATGGTATTCAGAGTCATTTAACGCTGTAGGAGAAGTCGGATAGGCTGCACTGAACGCCGCTAGCGTAGCTCCGTACAGATTTCCTCAAGCTTTATTCAGATGCCCGCTACCAGCACAGTATTGCTTTGCTGTGGGGAGTTGATTAGCTAGCTTAAATCAATGCCGCCGAGCTATGGGAGCTCGTCGAAGATGATGGACCGGCAGGCTTCTAGATGACTTGCCAGAGCCTGAAGGGAAACGTGCTGTCAAGCGTGCTAGCCCCATGGCGTGATCGGAATCAAGGCGTATGCCCCAGAAAGAATGACAGTCTTGAATAGTGGCTCTCCACCGGTGGCTGATGGGCACATGGTCCAACTGGGTCCACGGCTGATTTACAGTTGGTGGCCGCCAGGTTAAGATATGTGAATGCTTATACTGGTAGTTCGTACTGGACAGAAACAATTCATTATCAGCACACAACTGGAGGAGTGGCATTCTGTTGTCTGAGCGACGAGCATCGACTCCGAATCGACCGCTCAAATGTGATTCAGAGTTCAGATGCCGAATTGAGTATTTATATTGGACCACAATGTCCGTGCTTCATGCGTAACGAATGAGCCCAGATAATCTCGATGGTAAGTGTCGTTCTTAGCGTCAGAATTGCACTCCGTTGGGGCACAACCTGACGCTACAAACAGGCACCGCTTTTTGTCAAGAGGCAGTGAGCTTGATTGAGCTAGATAACCGAACAATACAAAGGCCACTGTTCGCTGGAATCCAATTCAGCAAAGCGCGTTCATCTCTGGAGTTGAGAGCAACTCCCAAGCCATATATTTCACGAGTTATCGCCTCTGGATCAAATGGATGGAGAAATGTGAAACGGCTGAGTTCATCCTTGGAGTTCTGTTATGCATATCCACGTTTGGGTCTTATGTCTGTTTCGGAGACAGCATACATCAATTTTAAGGAAGTACGGGGTTTCAGCGAGTATTTCATGTTTGCCAATTTGACATAGTACGGATGTTGAAGGCTCCCATACTGAAAATATCTCATGGATTTAGTAAGGTGCTATTTTGTTTATTGTTAATAGGCAGCGGAATGCATAAAGCCCATCGGTCGGACACCTTACAGTCAAATGACCCAGCAGCATTTGGTTGTGTGGTGGGAAGGGGTTGGAAAGGGACACCGGTGGACACCGAACTAAGCGGGCAAATGATACTTTTCGGTTGGCCAGACCGAGGAAGGGGGGTGGGTTGAGGTACCCCACCTTGAGTCTTTGACTCAAAAGTCTAAACCAACAAGGCTGTTAGGCAGGAATCCACGCGGATCCCACTATACCGCACGTCTTTAGGCGCTGCTACGGCCGAGAAGCCTGGCCCGCTCGAGGTTGGCCCAAAATTCGGGACGCTTGCCGGTCCGGCATCAAGACGAGATCTGATTGGTCAACAATCTGGACCCAACAGCCAATCACGACCCAGTATTGGCCGAATGCCGGTTGCCAATGGAGCTCCAGAACGCGTCAGAAATTCCAGAAAGTTATAGCCGCTTACGCTATATATACGAAGCGCTGTACAACTGTTCCTGATTTCGTTTTGGGCGTTAATAGACCTTTGTGCACCTTTGGTGTTTGTTTTGACGTGAACGCTAGCTTGGGAGGCTCAGACCGAGAACTAAGCTGAGGAAAATACAGATACAACAATTGGCGAACGGGAACCCACGATGTCAATCGAATTTGATCAGCTCCGAGAATTATTGCAGCAGCAACAAAAGCAGTTTGAAGAAGCGCAACTGAAGCTCATTGAATCACTGACTCAGAAACTGCATATCCAGACAGCAGCAGTCAGTACTGGTGAGTCTTCTGTTTCCTCAACTGATGCAGCCGCGGCCTCAATTACGGAGTTCACATTTGACGCTCCTTCTGGTCACACTTTTGACTCCTGGTTCAAGCGGTACGAAGACATGTTCAAAACTGATTTTTCCAAATTTGACGATGGATGGAAAGTCAGACTATTGCTGCGAAAACTCGGCACACCGGAGCATGAACGGTTCACAAATTTCATTCTCCCCAAGCTGCCCCGCGACCTCAGCTTTGATGAAACGGTCAGAACACTGTCCCAGATATTCGGCGATCAAACATCACTGTTCAATATCCGCTACAAATGCCTTAAGTTGGCCAAGAATGATGACGACGATTTCATCACGTTTGCCGGTGTTGTCAATCGAGAATACGAGCGCTTCAACCTCAGCTCAATGACGGAGAATCAGTTTAAGTGCCTCATTTTTGTATCCGGTCTCCAGTCATCCCATGATGCTGACATCAGAACCCGGCTTCTTAACAGAATTGAACAGGATGCCGAAATGACGTTGCAGAGCCTCACCACTGAATGCCAACGCCTCATCAACCTGAAGCACGACACGGCTATGATCGGTCAGTCACCTGTGACCTCAAGCAGCCGTGTACAGGCAATCAACTACAGCGTGCCCAGGAAATCCGACAAGAAGCCCGATCGAAGACAGGGTAAACCTCCCACGAGTTGCTGGCATTGCGGTGAGTGGCATTTTGCTCGTTAT